AAGTGACTTGAAGTGACTTTAGATTTCTAACCTTATTTCCCTAAATTAAAACATTTTTGGTCTTTAAGATTAAGCCTTCATTGTAAAATGAGAACTTGTATTTAAACCAGAGCAAGGTAATGCCCTGATTGCCTCAGGTTGCCAGCAATTGCTGCAAGGAAGCTGAGACATTGTTCTGTCACCCATAAACACTAAATTGAATATGGCACAGTGGCAAAAATCTATTTGGCTACATTCTAAGCAGACAGGCCAACACAAGTTATAAATTCTGTGAACTTCTGGCAGCCCTTTGCACTTCACAGGTTTTATGATTACTTCAGGCCCTGTGTCATATCTTCTGTTCGCAACTGCTAAAAAAATACTGAGTGGTCAGTACGAATGTTTTTGGATCTCCACACCTCTTTTAGAAGCCTTCCTTACTGAGCAAAAACTTAAAAACAAAAAATAATATGCTAGATTACTCAATTCCAATACGCTCAGAAATAATTCTACGGTACTCATAGTTGTTGACTAGATGGACCAAATATAAAAGCAAAACACAGACTCAAAGAAATCAGTCCTGAAACTGCTGTGCATGACAAGTGTGTTGTAGTAGTGGCTATTAATTTTACTGATGGGCAGAAACAGAACAAGCAGAATTACAAGAGCAAGAAAAAAGCCAGAGCCAAAAAAGCCAAACAATAAAACTGTTATCATAGCAAATGTATACGGTCAGATAGAAATTAAGGCTTTATGTTGCTGTTTTAAAAAAAATCTACCACACATCCTTCTCAGTAACACATTATTTTTGTATTGCTTTAAAGTACTGAAAGGAAAATTGTTAAAAGTTCAATTCTGGTGGTTTGGTGGGAGGAGGAAAAAGAACAACAGGAAAATTATGTTTCTTGAAAACCTTTAATGAATAAAATTTATTTCAACATGGTGTTGTGTTTGGCTCTATTAAAGTTAGGTTCTACTGTGAAAAGCCACTGTAAAATGGGCAACATGGAATTTCATTGTATACTGTGCCATGACTCCATATCAAATCTTCTCATTATATAAGTAAAAAGATGTTTTTTTCCCTCTCATCAACCCTGTAATCTCAACCTGGAATCCGAAAGTCAAACTGTGATTTTACTGGCTCACATAATAAAGATTCTGGAAAACAAAAGTTGCCCTATTTTGTGTGTGCAACTTCATTGTCTTCATATTTTGCCTTTAGTTACATCTGTTCTAAATGTGCTCTAAATTACAAATGTAAAATCATCAGTGGGTTTACAAAGGTGTCAGAGCGTAATTTGAAGGCAATGAAGGTCCACAGGTGCCTTTGCAATGTGAACTTAGTTAACAACAGTAGTGCTGATACAAAAGCTAGAAAAGAACACAATTCACTCTCCTTGAGTTGTATTGGTTCTGCAGGGTGACAGTGCAGTTAAAACATATCATTTTACTAATGTAAGAAAATAAGATTGGGTACACACAAGGAGAAGATCTTATGAGTAAGAAGTTGCCACTTTCACAGAGACATTTTTCAGATTAGAACTGCACTTTAAAACATCGTAATTATAACTTTTCAGTGGGAGTTTCTGACGCAGATTGCATGGGTAACTTGAAAAAGACAATGAATAATTAGTAATGGTTTTATTACACTTTTGGTGTCATCACTCAGCGCTTTAGGGTAGAATTTTCTATCCAAGCTTCATTATTATAGGTTCTATTATACACCTCTACCCCGAAATAACGCGACCCGATATAACATGAATTTGGATATAACGTGGTAAAGCAATGCTTTGGGGGGGCGGGGCTGCGTACTCTGGTGGATCAAAGCTAGTTCGCTATAACGCGGTTTCATCTATAATGCGGTAAGATTTTTTGGCTCCTGAGGACAGCATTATATCGAGGTAGAGGTGTATTATATTACATAAAAAACACATATTGTACCAGATGTCCCCTTTAATGACTCTCACTGCATCTTCTGTGTGGGAGAGATCTTTATGCTCCAGTATCAAAAACAACAAACCTAATTGGTTAGATGGGGCCCACGAGTGCCTCTTGTTTTTCCTCTTTATCTGCTCCTCCTTTGTATTCTCCATCCTCTCCCCCTCCACCCTAAGACAGCTTCCTTTTAATTCTAGTCCCCTGCACCTTCTTGCTCTGTCCACTCTTTGTCCTCCAACTATGCTCATCCAGGAAATATTTTTTTTGCCCTATCCACCCTCCACCCCAAAACCCCACATTCCAGAACTAAGCTGCACTCTTTAAATGGGGAAAACCACACCATGCTGGTCATCTCCTTTGCATCTTCCACCTCCAAAATAAAGATATATCTTTGGGAACACATCATATCATGTGGTGAATCATACTGACTGCTGTCACCACCCCATGCATCCCACCGTTAAGGCAGCCGGCCCATCAGCCTGTTCATTTCTGAAAGGACTTGAGCGACATATTTTTATAGTTGTGCCTATTGTTCATCATTATTCTTTTGCCATACAATATGTGAGAAAGAAGTTTTAATTTGTGCATTTAACTAAGTCAAACCTGGGTTTTCATAAAGACTTTATTCTCTTCCACATACCTTTCCTCCTCTCTGAGTCATAGACATTGAGTCTCATTAATGTCACTATTTCTCGGCCAGTCGGTATTTTTACAATTGATTTTTGTTTAAAGTAGGTTATAAATGCCTCAGGGAACAGACTATTTTTATTCTTTCTGTGCTAGGAATATCTAGGCCCTAATCCTTATGCATATGCTTAATTATACTATTGTGTGTAGTTCCAACTACTAGTAAAGTGAAGTATGTGCATAAATGTTTGCAGTATTGGCATTCTATTGTGCTATATATAAATGATAAAAATGATAGTTTATATTCTTTACTTTGGTGGTTTGATTTGAGGGGGAAGGTGCAATTCTGCCAATGTGTGGGGATCTTTATTTTGTAATTGTTTGGGTAACAGATTGGCGTATTCAGCAGCCTATCAGATTGCTTCTTTAGTCCTGCCCATTTTAAAAAAGAATGGGTGAACAAAATCATCTTTAGCAAGAAAACAATATTTCATTCATTCCAGTGACATTCTGTACCTCAAAATAGCACCCTGGAACCCGCATATTCACCACTGTGATATGATTATGATATGTTTTGTACAAAGTATGCATTGTGAAGTATCATTTGAGAAGCCATGATCTGTTGAACATTACTATCCTGTTGTGTTACCATTGTGTGTGAAGTTATGAAGTTTTGCTATGTGTGTGTTACTGAAATGTTGTGAGTCTGGGATATACCCAGAGCTGGTCTTTCAGTGGCAACAAAGGAGCAACTAACACCCCCGCCAATACAGATTTACATTAGGACTAGCCAACCATGGGTTGATGGCCCATTAAGTAGAAGCCACTCTCCCAGGGGACCCCTCCAAAAGACATGAACAATGGAGGCCCAGAGTCTCAGTAGGGCACATACAACATGTGACACCTGACTATGTTTAAGGCAGTATTTTTTCATGCACATGGATGGGGCAGTATACATTGGAGTCTGTGACATCAGCCCAGTGCCTCTCTCCTCTCCCACCTACTCTGAAGACAAGAACGTTTGGAAAAAAAGACCTTGCAGTGGAGAGACCCAGGATGAGCAAGTAATTCAGCTGGTGTATTAAAAACCGTGAACTGCTTACAACGCATAGTGGGGTGAGAAACTGTTTGATTCAAATCTTGCTTAGTCTGATAAGGTGTAGAATGTAGACTATTTTATTTTTATGTATGTAACCATCTTTGATCTCTATGCCTACCACTTATAATCACTTAAAATCTATCTTTACGTAGTTAATAAACTGAGTTGAACGTTTTATCCTTACGAGTGAGTTTATCTAAAGTGTTTGGTGAATCTACTTAGATTACAAAGGCCGACGTATGGCCACTATCCTTTGACGAAGTGGCGAACTAATTAATGAATTTACATTGTTCAAGAGAAGGTCTTGAGCAGTGTAAGATGGTACATTTCTAGGGTGCATGGCTGGGGGGATTTGCTGGGTTCTCCTTCTGAATAGGTCACGAGTGGCTTGTCATGCATTCATGCACCTTATCTGGGTGTGTCCCTGCATGTTGTTGGCTGAGGGATCCCAGCACCTGGAGGATTTTGCTGTGTGTCACAAGCACAGCATTGTAAGAGACAGCCCTGATTGGAGAGTTAAGGCAGCACAGCAGTCCCACAGTTTCAGGTTGTACCACCTGTCAGTTCCCCACTGCCATTTTCTCTTGCTTTTCTTGCTCTTTCAAAAGGAGTCCAGCCAGCTCCTATGTCTGTTTTAAATGACACATCCAAAGTGCAATTTGTACCCCATTTATGGCCCACGGTACTTTAAAATGCAGCCTATTCCCATCTTCATTAAGAGCAATGTAATAGAGGGGGATCACATGTCCCAACATGCTTGCATCCAGATGGAGCGTAACATGCAAGGACTGCAGTCTCCTCAGGCTGCACTGTAATTAGCTGTTTCCCAACAAGGCAACACCAGACACATCCTGAATGACAGAGGCTAGAAGAGAACACCCGGGGCAGATAAAACTGCATTACCACAGATTAGGGTGACCAGACAGCAAATGTGAAAAATCGGGACGGGGGTATGGGGGGGTAATAGGAGCCTATATAAGAAAAAGACCCAAAAATCGGGACTGTCCCTATAAAATCGGGGCATCTGGTCACCCTACCACAGATCCAGCACTTTCAAATGGCTCACGTGGCTGTGATAACGTGGGACACACAGTCCCTTCCCCTCTCTGCTATTGCAGGGGGCCTTAAAGTAACAGAGTCTAAGGCCAGAACTTGGGACCACCAGATCATCCACTGGGTATCACAGGCCACCAACACGACAGCTCCGCCCACCGCCCCCGTCCATCTAGCCGCGTCGCTCTGCGCGAGGGGCCCTGCGCAGGCGCGGAGGCCTTGAGCTCCCGCCCGGAAGAGGGAGACCGCGTGCACACGGCGGCAGGGAAAAGCAAGAGGAAGAAGCCTCAGCTCTGTTCTTTACCTACGTCATGACATCACTGCGCGACGGCGATAGAGGCGGAAGGGGAGGGAATATCAACGGCTCTGGGGCGGGGCCTCCGTTGCCGG